ACATTTATTAGGAATAAAAACTTCTGTGTTCTGGTGCATTTGTGCGTGCGGGGGTCATTATGTTACCACTATGCCGTATCTAGTTTTTTTACACTATTTTAGGTCTGTTGAGCTTGAGTTTTTTTCCTCTCATTTCCTTGATTTATTAAACGTAAAATGGAAACACTTGTCCAAATCCGGAGCAACCCAGTTTTGAAACGACACGTCTCTGAAACATGAAAGCCTCGCTGCCTCTGGGTTAATAAACAATATTTATTTGACCTAATTCATTTGCTGGATTCTTTTAAAAATCATAATGAGATTATGATTTATGGTGCTGCAATTATTTTTGTAAACTATACAGTATGTGTGCGTTTTTTTTAAAACACGGTTGCACTTCTTTACAGTCTAATGTTTCACCTCTATTTACTTCAAAGTTCAAGGAAACCCTGTTTAAAAAAAGRAAAAGAATGAAAGTTTGTCTGATAGACTAAAAACGAATCTAAATAGTGACTTTTAGCAACTGTTTGTACATTTCATGAACTCTCATTAGTAAACAGTAGTCACCACAGTATCTAAACAGTCTGTGTCCAGTTCTGGGAGTATTTGTGCAGAAATCTGTGTATTTAGCATCAATCATTGTGTGTCACTGAGGTTTTGGGTAAACAGAAGGGATATCAGCTGGTGGTGAAGGGGTGTGCCTATTGAATTAATTAGTGAAATCTGTAAATAGCAGGTGAAACTCTGGACTGTGAAATGAAGCGTGTCCCAGTCGCTGCGTCTGCTCCCAACGTTCCACACGGAGCTGTACAGACTGTACATAATGTAGCGTCTGACTTTAAATAAAGACTAATGTTTTAGAATGAATGCCCTGTTTGCACAGATGTGTCTTTATTTCAACACTTCCTTTGTTTTTTTTTCTTTGGCTTCCTGGTTGTAACATCCTGTAGACCAGTGGTTCCCAAACTTTTTATCTTATGACCCAAAAAATATCCATGGCAAAAACTTGTGACCCCAAATATTACTGGTCTGAGTACACGAACTTTGTTAATAACCCTAAAAACACAGGCTTTTTGACAATCTAAACAGCTTGTACACCAATACAAATACTTATTTATAATTTTTATGTGTTTTTGTAATAGTTATAGGGAAACTATTACATTAGCAATTATTTTATTCCCCTTTAAATTGATTTCTGTAGATTATCCAAGGTACTTCATGACCCACAATTGGGTCCCAAGTCCAACTTTGGGAACCAAAGTGCAGTGGTTCCCAAACTTTTCAGCTTTTGAACCACAAAATAGCAGTAGCAGAGACCTGTGCCCCCAGCTATGTTTGTATCAGGTTAACTAAACATGGGCATAGTAACAACATTTTTATACTACATGAATCCATTTTAAATACACTAGCCTCACTCCTTTGTAACAACTAAGGCAAAAATGTCATTAATTCTGAAAATCTTTTCAGGACCCCACTTTGGGTCCCGACCCCAACTTTGGGAAACACTGCTGTAGATCATTTAACGCAGGCAGCTCTTGTGAGATCCAGTTCAGTTTTAGGGGTGAAAACTGGTGAATTTAGTTGTAAAGTAGCCTCATTTAATGCTGAGTGTTTTTTAAGTGCCATCACTGATGAGAATGATTTGCACAAAAAAAAACGAGCTGATAACTAGAGAAATTGCATTTCCTGCGAAAATGCTAGTGTGAATGCTTCATGCTGAAAACAGCTGAAAGCTGCTGAAACTGTTTAATAGCAAGATTGTTAATGTGAGCTCACTTAGAAAAGATGAAAGAAAAAAAGGCTAACTTTGCAGAAAAACGGTCAAAATTAGCACAAATCTAGTTGAAAACAACAGAAAACGGMTAAACGCTCAAAGCTAAAATAGCTGAATAGAGCTGAAAACATCTGTAAGAAGCATAAATAGCACAAATTAGTAGAAAAAACACAAAACATCAGAAGAATAGTAGAAAGAAGCAGAATTTTATCTGAAATAGCAGAAAAAAGCTAAAATTAGTAAAAAGTATCAAACAATCAAACTTTATTTATAAAGCACTATAACATCAACCACTGCTGAAACAAAGTGCTGAACACATGAAATAAAAACCGAATACAAAAACACAATAAAATCACACAGTTAAATAAGTAAAATCAGCACCAATACAGTAAAAGTTGAGTAAAGTCAAATCTCAGTTGGGTTGAAGGCCAGTGAGAAAAAATAAGTTTTTTAAAAAGTAGTGGAAATTAGCACAAGAAAATGAAAAAAAGAGTAGAACCAGACCTGAAGGGTTTTAAGGATGATGAAAACAGCTCCATTCATTTTCAACGGGAAAAAAAGTGGCCGAATAATTGAAATAGCTGAAAAAGTATAAATAGCTGAAATACCAAAAGGCACAGCACCTTTGGCATAAATGAGATGAACAGTTTGATATATGAATTGTTGAAATAACACAAAATTTATGGAATGAAGTTAGATGCCGAAAAATGTACAGAAGAAAAAATGATCTCAGTTGATGAAGTTCATCAAAGCAGATGAACAGCACCACCTAGTGGCCTGCCGTGTCCAAACATCCAGTACATCTCAAGGAAGATGGATTTCTATCATGTCCACCTTTTAAAAAAGTTGCTTGAATTTGCTGTTTTGAATGTTTGAAGTCGTTACTATAAACAGTGATTTTTCTCTAATGCCCCACTGTAGGAAACTTACATTATCTTATAACCTCCCTGGAATTAAATACTATTGAGAACCAGATGATGTTTAAATATTTATCTGTACAAATCACTAGGATTTTCTGGCACCAGCATTCTGCATATAATYACCTGATAATAGTAGAGGAAATGCTGCATTATGTAAAACAACAAGTATTGTTATATTTTACCTTTTTAAATCTGTGTATTTTTCTGCATTGAATCATTAATTTAAAATGATTGTTTTTTTTAACTTCAAGATATGTGAGGCATCTTTATTTCTGTGGTGCTCCTTTAAGGCTAATGCATTCCACTATCACAYTATTTGAGAAGCGCTGCAATAAACGGTTTATTCATTATTATCCARCATTTTACCCTAGTAAAAACATCAGATTTAAAATGACTCCAAAACAAGAAAAAAAAACAGTTTTAAAGAAAGCAACTGGCTTATTTATTATCAAACGGCTGCCTGAGTTTAACGATCTAAATCCTCTGTACACCTGGACAAAAGCAACAAATCTATGATTTTATTGTTTGCTCTGTTTAACATGCATCTGATGCAGAAACTGTTGGACAGGTTTCCAGTTTTTATCGACGCCCATGAGAACAAAAGGAGGAACTGGTTGATGTAGAAAGCACGCAGTTTACCGCTGATGTCACTGAGAAAAGCTCTTATTAAAGCTCGTCTTCTAATGAATTGAAATTTATAAAAACACAATGCTTTCTGAGACCCTGGTGTGTGAAGATGAGGAGCCCCCAGCAGCACAGAGCGTTTCTGTACCTGGGAGGTCTGAAGCAGGTCACTGCAGGGCCTCTATAGACGTCAGCATGGCCTCCAGCTTCCCGCTCCTGTGCAGCGCCGACACCTCAGAGCCACCCCCGATGCACTGCTCGCCGATGAACACCCGCGGCACCTGCAGGAAAACGGGGACGCAGCTGGTAAATATGCTGCTTTTAATCAATAAACATCAGGATCAGGGTGAGATTAGAGACAATCCGAAGGAGGRAAATCGAAAGTTGACGTGTTTCTGCTCGGGCACAAAAGCTCTCAGCGTCATCTGATGAGGGTGTTCTGGGGGAAAGACAGGGATGGTCAGCACTACTGGGTTTTAGGGTTTTAACGCATTTGTTGAAGAGTTTGGGTTTGTTTTTTCTGCTGCAGGGTGAATTCAGGCTGGGGGCGTTTGAATAGTGAGCCTCTCTTTAGGGAGTCAGCTCTGTGGAACTTAACATTAATAAAAACTATTTTTGTCCCCTCACCATGTCCGTTTCTCATTACCCACTTCCTGTTTTTAATCCTTAAATGGACTTCCTGCTTTTTCATCTACAACTATTTGCTGWTGGACTTGCTGCAGTTCGAGGACAAAAAGACTTGATTTGTGTTTTAAGTGTCATTTTCTCCTGCAGCTGCTTCACCTCCTGTTTGCTGAATGGACAAAGAGTTTCATTAGACTACATGTCAAACTTGTTTACATTTAGGGGTTGTTCTGAACACTCTGTCTATGATACCTTTGAGATTTTAAATAATTAATCAGCAGGCAAGGCAAAGGAGGGCCACACCTCATCTGGTCTAGTTTCATTTCGTCCCAGAAAACTGGATCCTAGGGTTGGRCGATRTTGGCAAAAAAATTAATCACRATTAATTGTGGTATTTAGCCGATCACGATTAATTTGACGATTAATCCCCTGGAGTCCCTGGACACACTTATGTCCTGGTCACATGACTAATTTAGT